AATAAACCAGGTAAAGGGCCCGCATGTATGCGGGTTTATGAGAAAAAATATTTTACAATGCGTGAAAAATCAAATACGGAAAGAAAAAATCAAATTAAATCATTCATAAAAATAAACAAAATTGAAAACCATGATATTAAATAAATTTAACACTTATATTTTTAGCTTGATTTTTTTATCTAATTTGATTTTCAATTAAATTTGATCACGTTTGTTCAAAATAATTAGTATCTTTCTATTCATGTTCGAAGTAATTTACTTTTTACTATTTTGCTACTCTATTTTTTCAAAATCTTATTTGAAATTTCAATTTTATAAATATTTTGTAACTTGTAAAAATAGTGATTTATATTTTGTTTTCCTTATTGAATTAGGTTTATTTTTATTATGTAGCTAATCACTCATATGTATTTCTTTTTTCAAAACCTTGATGAATTGAATCTCATATTTTTAGTTGCAAACTTAAATTGCAAATTTCAGTAAGATTTTTTTCACATAATTGATTCCCAAATTTTGCAAAAATCTAATGATGCGCAAAGCCTTGAATAGTATTTTCATGCGTTGAAATAAACTCAAATTTTATTTAGACATTATTTAAGTAATTAGTAAGAAATTAAGACTGTTATTAATGTAAAATAAAAATAAAATAACCTTTTCATCAACTAATAGAAAGTCAATTCCTATAAGTTCATTATTTTTCTTAAAAATTTTCGTCTCCAACTTTATTAAGACGTACTACAAATACAATATGAAGATAAACACATTTTTTATTTAACTAGTCTAATGTTAAATAATTGATGTTTTTCTTGTGTTGAGTAATCATTGATCTGATGATGTAAACAATAAAACAAAACAAAATTGAGTTAGAATATTTTTATTAATCTCACAAATGAAAATAAATCATCGTCATCTATCTCACCTATCGAATAAGAGATTAAGAAATGTAATTTTCTAATGAAAACTCTGAAATAAAATTTGTATAAGAGATTGCCGAAGTTTAAAATTGTTTGGTAAAAACACTGAGAGAGCACAAAACCTTATTATATAAATGCAAAATATTATAATCCATATAGATTTGAGTATGTAAACCTAATTCTATTTGAACTCAAATTTTTGTTTACACATGTATTAATTAATATTCTTATGAAAAAAATCTTAAAAATTATTCCATCTAATAGACGTATAGGAAAAGAGAAAAAAATGGTTGTATGTAAGAAAACAAAATCGAGACATCTAATAAAGACAAAATTTAAAAGAATAAATGATGCGTATCG